TAGTATATTTTATAAGTAGGTCACTGATTATAAACAATAATTTAATATAAGATGAATAAAATGTAAATTCAGAAAGTATATATTAATATGTTGGTTTGTGCTTAATTTCAACATTTAGATACTTTACCTATTACTTTAAAATTTTGGCGAAACGTTTTATTTCCAATCTCATATGAATGAATATATTTTAAATTTTTTTAGAAAATATTAATTTGTTTGTACCAAAGAATTAGTAAAAAATTGATTCAATGTATTATACTTACTGAGTCGCAGCAACGCGTGGCTGGGTCAGCTAAATTATATATATTAATATTAATATTTTCTGACACAATAATATATTATATATTATAATATTACAATAAACCTCAGCTCACGTACAAAGCTTAGGTGAACTGCGTGACGTATTAAACTATTCAAGTATACTGTATAGGTACATATTATTTGGTAAACGGACACTTTGTACTATCGATTGTTTGAGTTGCATACCGCGGACATTTTGTACCTACGGTGAAAATAAATTAATAAAAATTATTCGATTGCGGTCACTTTGTACAGTAGGTACCTATAAATAAACCAGGTTATTTATTACTTTAGAGTATTAGGTACAATAGTGTGTATAATGTCTTATGTGTTGGTTTATACTGCACATTTTAATTATTATTGTTAATTATTGAAACAATTAACTCGTAAAATTTGATACTCTTTAATGCAATTGTAATGTTTCTCTATTATAATTCGATACGTCGTTTATGTAAGTAGATACATCATATTTATATTATGTATAGTATGTAAAAACTAAAATTTTTGAAATTTGTCTCCCCAGCCATGGAGGTCTGGACACGCCTATGCATATACCTACCAACCTACCACACTATAATTACACGTATTAATGCTATTGAACATTCGAGCACACCAAACCGTAATGCTCGTCAGCTGAGGACGGTTTGGTGTGCTCGAAGAGGCTAAAATATAATATTATGTTCGTACTACACACTTCATATTATTAAACTTGTAATTACTGTAAGGCAGGGGTCGGTAACCTGCGGCTCGCGAGCCACAAGTGTCTTTTTCGGTCTAAAGTTGCGACTCTCCACTCTCCAGTTACACACAAAAACAATATTTTATATCTATAAAATAATTTGATGGTACCCCCATATGGAGCCCAGTCTATCGTTGTAAAATGTTTATTATAGAAGTATAGTACATGCCGTTAATATCGATAATCTCGACGCTATCTACAACTAATTAGTCATACGCCGTCACGCCAAGTTAACAATGTGAACAAAGTCCAAAAGAATACGATATCATTTTTCGACTCATTTTGTTCAACGAATTGACATAATTACAATTATTATTATTATGTCTATTAAAATTTAAAAATAAAATCATTTTAAAAAAATTACGAACATTTTTAGTGGCTCTTTAAAATCTGGAAAATTTTGTATATTGTAACTTTATTTGCTCTTCCCCTACTGTAGGGGGCTTAAATATATTTGATCCATGGTCCATACACATAAGCAGGGATCGTAACTTCATGCATTAAAAACTGCATAAATAAGCATGCATTCGTGCACAAAAAATTGTCAAAATATGCATTAAAGTATGCACTAAAAAGCATTTATATGCCTTAAATTTTTTTAATTATGCACTCAAAATATGCATTATGTAGGTACAAAACATGACCAAATTTTAAAATAATAAGAATAAATCCATACATTTTAAAAGTATTTTTGTCCTTTTAATTTTTATATATTTAACAGTCAAAATTAATAAATAAAATAAAAATGTATATGTGTTACCAGTACGGCGCGCCGGAAGTTAAACTTCTTTTGACTGGTACACGTGAGTGAGTGAAAAAGAAAGAAAAAAATATTAATTAATTAAATAATATTGACGTGGCCCGATTATAATATATAATATATATATATATATTATAATATATAATATAACAACACTACCATGACAATATTTATTTATTTGCGGTGTTACGTACGGCCCTTCAGGGATCCAAAAGCTGATGTACTTTTATAAATAACAATAGTCAAATTAGTATAATAATCAAATGTATTATATTAAACCAGACAAAATGAGCAGAACAGTCGTGTTGATTGTGTAGTTGAGTGAATTGTAGCTCGTTCTAGAATTGATAATCTCCGTGTAATTATGTGTGATGGCTTGGCGGCTAAGCGAGTCGTGTGTTGTTCACGTCTCTGGATACATCTACTCAGGCTGTCTCGCTGTCCCCTATACAGTATGTCCCAAAAGTCCCGTATCACCCTTAATATCTCCATGTAAAATCACTATATTTAAACGAAGTTTTTTTTACAGTACTAAGTATGAAAATTCTGATTGAATGGCATAAAATTCATTTATTTTTTTCTTTAAATTCAAAAATTTTCAAAAAAATTTTTTACGCATTTAAGAATTTAAAATTTTTAAGATAGCCATTTTGTTGAGCATATTTTTTAAAACAGTTCAAAAAAAAAAAATACTAAAATTAAATAAAAATTGACCAAGTTAGAGCAAGTTATGTTTTTGAATAATTGTAGTAAAAAAATAAATTATTGTTTCACATTTCAATAATGAAATATCTAATTCAGCACACGACAATACTTTTACATTCCCAATTTATTTTTTTACTACAGTTATACAAAAACATAACTTGCTCTAACTTGGTCAATTTTTATTTAATTTTAGTATTTTTTTTTTTTTTTGAACTGTTTTAAAAAATATTCTCAACAAAATGGCTATCTTAAAAATTTTAAATTCTTAAATGCGTAAAAAAATTTTTTGAAAATTTTTGAATTTAAAGAAAAAAATAAATGAATTTTATGCCATTCAATCAGAATTTTCATACTTAGTACTGTAAAAAAAAACGCGTTTAAATATAGTGATTTTACATGGAGATATTAAGGGTGATACGGGACTTTTGGGACACACTGTATATATGGTGGCGGCGTCCTTTGAAGTGAGCGGCGCGTGTACAGTCGTCCTTGATATGGACCTCACGACTGAAAGTGGTATTCTAGTCGTAAACACTTTTGGGTGTGGTAGCATTCCTGGTTGTTTTTATGAGCAAATACATATTATATTACGTAATCCCATTACAACGGACATGTACGCTTTCGCGTTCGTACGGCCGCCCGTTCGTACGCGCCGCCCGTTCGCTTTTTTTTTCCTCACTACCCTGCGTAAAGAAGTATAACTTCAAAATAAAATTAATACTTGTGAAGTTCAAATGGCTTTGTCATCTTTATAAATCGTAATTAGGTAGTCATTTTTTGTCTGATTTGTGTACACCCATATTCAGCACCAACAATGAGAACATTTGGAATGAAATATTAGGTATTTAATTTTGAGATAATTTAGTAATATATATTTTATAAGTGTTTTTTTTTATGTTTTCAAACTTAAGAATAAAAACATGGTTTCGTAATTCAAGTAATACGGCTTATTGAAGTGGTTTACAGTAAAAATACCTATTATAAAAATTGTAGAGGAGAACTTTTTTACAATCGTGAGAAGCCTGGTTTTCGATATTTTTATAAATTAGTTAAATAATTAATCGATAAAAATTTTAAAAAACGTCTTAATTTACCATGCAATATTGGACTATTGGAACAAGATATCAAAAACCGGAAGGAACTTTTCAAATATTTGTCTAAATCAACTATATGCCAAATATGCCTTTACACCCAAAACATGCAAAAACATGCACTATCAAACTTCATATTATTATTACTATTGTTATGAAACGGATTTGTATCTCAGTTAGCATGTTTTCCTGTGCAGCAAAGAAAACATGCAGATACATGAACTTACTGACAATGCACATGAGCATAGAGTAGTAGAATTTCTATTTTTCTTTATACTGCACACTATACAGTATACGTCTATACATGACAATAAAACGATTTATGCCAGTATATTGGTAAGATTATTATACATAATCAGTGTTTGGAAATTTCATGAAATTTAAAAAAAAATGAAATATTTCAAATGTGTTTTAATAAGTCTTATATTTACATATAATAAATTGTCATAAATTATCTTCATAACTGTATGATATGGTACCTGTATATGTTATACCTAACCTTTGGTATTATACATTTAAAATGGTATTCAAATTTTTAAATATTTTAATGTTTAAATGATACAAGTAGGTACCTATACAATATTATACATGGATATTGTGTACCTACTGAATTCTGACATTAGAGTTTAGATCACTGAAAATTGTGTTAAAAAAATAAATAAATAATGTTTTTATTTGTGTTAAAAAAATTTTCAACATTTCACGATTTTGTGAAATATTTCATACTTCAAACCCTATAACACAATTTTACAATATGTGAACTGGACTATAATGTAGAGACAGTGAATTTCGGAATAAATATCCCCAACCCAAACACATGTGATTTATTGGTAAAATATTTTTTAAAGTTAATTAATGTAATTACTACATTATTCATTTTTAATTACATATATACACACTAGGTTTAGGCATAATTATCATTAAAAAATTAATATATCATAAATAATTTTCAAATATTAACAATAATATTTTTTGTCATATATCACGATTTCAAACAACATTAATTATAATGGTTCTTTTATAAGAATAGGTATAAGTTCATAAACTATTGTTTGATAATTGTTTGTATTATTTGACTTATCGACTTATGCATTTCATAGTAGGTACACACAATTTTAGTCCCCGATGCAACTAGATATATCGAACATATTTTTACCTTAAAGTGTAGGTACATCAATATACTTTCTAGTGCTTGAACGTTGAATACTAAAACATCTTAACACGCATGTTTTATATTTTTAAAACACATCTCACCAACTATCTTCATCGTTGCATATAAAAAATAAATATATAATATAATATACATATACAAATTACATATATTAGAGATATTATTCACCTATACTAATAATTGTGTTTAATTTTTCAGCCTGATTGGAAAATCGTGGATCCAATATGTACGTTCATGTTTTCCTTATTAGTGTTGGTCACTACGTTCAACATTCTCCGGGATACCATGATAGTGTTGATGGAAGGCATGCCGAAAGGATTGAATTTCTCAGATGTCCTGGAGACATTCATGAGCATCGACGGAGTGGTTAGGGTGCATAATCTCAGGGTCTGGGCTCTGAGTCCGGACAAAATTGCTTTGGCCGCCCATCTGGCAGTCAGTGAGTATTATCACTAAATATTTAAATTATAAGTTTGTGTGACGCCCATAGTAGATTTTTGATAGTCGATTTTGTTTTTTCTGTAACAGAACAAAATCAAAAATATATTTAAAATTTTTACTCCTTATTTTTTAATTTAACCGACCTACCAAATTAAATTGAATTATATCGTAAAAATTTGAAGAAAAAACATTTTATTAATTTTCCGTACCTAACCAAATTGAATAAATTATTTACTTTAGATAATATGTATTTTATTATTTAATAAAATTAATTTTTTTTAATTCACTTACCTACCATTAAAATGTGAATTGCATTAAGAATCATCGTCTTTTTCAAGTGGTTGGAGGTAAATCTTCGTCGATTGTCAGCTGAAACAGTTTTATACTCCGAAAAACTTCTTTCCACGTCCACTGAAGATACGGGAGAGCATACTTGAAATATGGAATATCTGTCACAGTTATATTTTGGTCCAAACTGGAAATTAATTCGCGTGTATACCGGATATAATATCTTTTATATTTTTCAATGGTTCATATTCGGTGTTTTTCTTGAGAATTGTGTTTAATTTATTATTGATTGATCTTCCTAGGTATATACTCCCAGATGTCTCAGATGTTTAACGGATAAACTATAATAGTCTTGTTTTTCCAAAAACGTAATTTTGTTTGGGATAAAACTAAAATGAAATTTTATAAAAATTAAATAATCTTCTAATGTTGATTCTTGCACAAGTTTTTTTACCTGTTCAATGGATACTGCATCTTCTTTCTTTAACATATATTTTATAACTTCGCCAAATGCTTTGTAGTTGTCGCAGCTCATAGCCTATTATAACTTATATAATATTGTACAGACAAACAGTCCAGCGATTTTCAAACTGTAGGTCGCTAATACATCCAATTTCTTTTTTCTAATGATATCATAATAAAAGAGTTCAGTGTTGGGAATTATGTAGATCAAATGTATTAAATCATCTAATTATCTCATCTAGATAAATGTAATGGTTATCTGTGGTAATGTATCTAGATAAATAATATAATAGTAAGAATATTTTTAAATACTGAAATAGTGAATAATTTATGAAAACTGAGTCCAAAGTCCAATATTATTTTAGTTAAAAAAAGAAATGTTTACTGAAATATTGTCAGTTTTATTCTGTTACTTTATTTTTATTCAAGTTGTATTAAAAATTAAAATTGTATATCATTTTAGTTGAGAAATGACATTAAGGATTTATTAATCAATAAATATTACCTAATTTCAATTACTAATAAATTATACATTATTTATCATATAATTTAAAAACGAATTATCTTTTTTTTTTATCTAGATGAATGTATGTGTATTTGTATCTTTATCAAGATGAAAAAAAATTATGTTACATTTTATCTTATCTCGATAAATGTTGAATGAATAATCTGTTATCTTATATCCAGATGATTTTTTTGGTTGTCTTTTCCCAACACTGAAAGGGTTGCTATAAACATTGGTGACATTATAGTAGGGGTCGAAAATATCGAGAACAGCAGCTGATGTACACAACATACAAAATATCAATATAATATATAATTGGGTGAGCTTATTAATAATGTGTGTGTGTGTGTTCTTTATATATTGCAGAGCCCGGTGCGAACACTACCACAGTGCTAAAAGAAGCTTCTCGCAGGATGTACAAAAAGTACAATTTCTTCGATTGCACTCTACAAATCGAAGAATTCGAAACTCAGATGGAGAGCTGCAAACAATGTCAGCCACCCGAGTGCTGATAAGACAGTTCGCCACCCACAACTGGACCCGTCACAACCAAAAATATTCGCCTTACGTGCTTATTATCATTTCCTGTTATAAATTATTATTGTTTATTACACATAAAACATATATTTTAACCATCGTTTCTCTACCCCGAGAATACGAAATACCTATATACGTTATATTTATCACCCATATATATTATAAATCATTTATATGTAATACATCATATTTTATATCATATATAAAATGTTGGTTATTTTTAAGCTCTCATTTTTATTTAGTGTTTATAATCAACAGTATTCAGTAATACCATACAAAATTATGATTAAAATTTATAATTTTAGACAAATTTGATGCTTTGGTTGTATACTTTTTTTTTCGAGTTAATCGAGGGACGGAGGTTGTTTACCTAACTTTTATTATATGCATTTTGGGACTTGTAAATTCGTTGAACAATGCAATAATGAACGTATTTATCAGAATTAATTGTCAAGTTCAAAAATCTAGTAAAATATAATTTATAAGCAATCCATATCTTTTTAATATAATAATTAAAATAGTACAATTAAAAAAATTTGTTTAATTCATAATACCCATTATGTTTAACTATTTTTATTTTTAATCTTATATAATATTATTTCTCTATCGAATAGATTTAAATTAAAAAAAATCTAAAACATTAATTTTAATAATTTAGCCTCGGGGCATGAACCTATTATAGTAGCCAATATAGGTACTTAAATACATTTTAAATTGGCTCGATTGATTCTTAAAGTTTCATATTATGATAAATATATAAATTTCCCTTACAAAATCATAGGCTATTAAAATTCACAGAAAAAAAGATTCTGCCTTAAATAATATATACCAACAAATTTGTTTAATTTTAGTATAGTGCATGTACAAATTAATTAAATAAATATTCGATTTGTATTAATAATTTTAAAGAAAATAATATACCTACTGTATTTTATTAAATTTATTATATTTTAAACTATTTATAATGATACATATTACTCACTAATAATTTAATCCAAAAAAAATCACCGTGTTCAATAATACTTTTAGTAATGTATTATTCTAATATATAAATATCAATATAAATTGTAAAATAAACTCAATAATTTTTAGTGAAAAAATTGTTTTTATTTTATTTAATTTTATTATATAAAGCGATTACCACCTACCGCTTTAAGGGTGCGTTTTTTGGTACAAAAACATGTCTTCCATGAAAAACTCTCACGACCTGTAGAATAGTTGGATTTCGTTAATTTTTTTTTAATTTAAAGTAGAAAAAACGTTGTAGGTCGGATCAAAGCCCGATTTTAAAAATTATAATTATAGAAGCCTGGAATATGCATTTGAATAATAAAATAATATAACGAATGCATAATATTTGTTATTTTTCTACTACTATTTGAAGTAAAATAAAAATTCCAGCTCTGATCCTACCTGTAAAGACTTCTCACCTTTCAGATAAAAAAAAAAAATGAACAAAATCCGAAATAGCAACGAGGCGTTTTCCCTGTAAAAGCATTTTTGTTCATCAAAATAGTGCTTCAATAATAGTCATCGAAGTCAATCACTGACTTGTGAGTGGTTGAATATTTTTATCTGAGAGTGAAATTATAGCTCACTCACACTAATATCAATTTACGTGCAAGCACATGCACGACGTTCTTAAAATATGAAAATTATGACACCGAGGGCAGTTGCCCCCTTCGCCCCCCTTTAAACACAGCTCTGGTTATAACACGCATAATTACTATAAACTAGGGATCAAAATGACGGACAATTTGGGAAAATTTTTTTCCCAGAGCCTCGGAAAACGTGGACAAATTGGAGAATATTAAAATAATAAATTTAAAAAAAATCGAATTTTTGGAAAATTAAAAAATTGTATTTACGGTTAAAAAGTAAAATAATCTATGTTAAAAAAAAAATTGTAAAAATAGATAAGGAAACCTCTCATTGTTATTTCACATTTGCCAATACGGTTATCAATGTGTTATATTGTATTAAAATTAAAAATTAAACTATTAAAAATATTAATACGGATATTAAACTTGAGTGAGTTGGTGAAAATTAAATAATATTAATAACTACCTAATAAGAAATAACTACATTGTAAATACTAATAGTTACTAATTTAGTAGTTAATATTACAAATTATAATTATTTATAAATCAAGTATAGAATCCTCTAGATATATCCACTACAGCCTTTAATGGTATGTATAATATGTATGTTATGTGATTATGATCAGATTATCGACTATCATTACTATTTTTCTTGCAATTTTTCAATTTATCAGGAAAAAAAACCAGTTTTTTCGTGAAAACCATTTTTTCCGGAAATTTTAAATGAGACTAAATTTTCAAAATTTTTACGAAAAAAACGGGAAAAAATCCTGGTTTTTTCGGAAATGTTGATCCCTACAGTATATACTAAACAGTACCTAATATTTAATAATTGTATAAAATAAAATAAACTTGCAATACAGGTACTGATGACAAGAATACACATTAAAGTCAAAAATAACAATAACAAATAATTAATTCTATTGTAATTATTTAAGCTACCAGTTATAAACACTAAATAAAATACGTACAGCGCAATTAAAGACTGCATTTTTAGTCTCTAGAGGAATAGAATCATTAATAAATAAAAAATACAGTTTAAAAATTATTATAAAATTAATATAGTTATATAATATAATAGAAAATTAAGTTATGAACCGAAAATATACTTCAACAAAATTGTAAGTACGAACACTAAACTCATCGTTTTCATGTTGTATATGACTGAGTGCAGGTCTGTCTGTCCGAGTGGAGTAAAGAAAATATTTATTTTTATTGTTTGACAAAACCTTTAAATCACATAATGGAAGTAACATAGTGGTGCTTCAGAGCTATCAGATTGTAATTTAGAACATGTACAAGCAATGTCTGATGTTATCATTCATAATAATTTGTCTAACAATGATCATCTTTACAAGTCTATGGTATTTAAAATTCATCACTATAAAAAACAGTTAAGATTTTTATCTGATAAATTAAAAAAAAATGAAACTAATAAAAGTGCTGAGATTTTGAAATCTATTTTTAACAATGACCAAATAGAATCCTTGTCCAGAAAATCTACTAAATTCATGAAGTGGTCTAATCCTACTATTTGCAAAGCTTTAAAGATAACATTTAGCTGTGGTAACAACGGTTACGAAGAAATGTTGAAACAGAAAATTCCATTGTCTTCTCAAAGAACTTTAAGAAGAAGATTGCAGATGTTAAAATTTGATAGCGGTGTACTAGATGAAGTTTTTAAATTTTTAGAAATTAAAATTCAAACGTTTCAAGATACACATGAAAAAGAATGTGTTCTTATAATAATATAATGGATAAAATGGCAATAACACCCTCTAATATATTTGATGTGTCTTTAAATAAAAATGTAGGCAATATTATATTATAAATTTGATTGATATAAAAAAAAAATATTTTGAACGATTCAATTAACATTAAAAAATGTGTAAACGATATTATATTTAGTCAACTAAGTCTTTGTTTATTTTAAGTACAGTATTAATATAGAGTATTTTTGTTTGTTTATAATACAATGTTTGTTATTATTTTTTTTTATTTTTTTTCGTTATGTTATTTGAATTAAAATACTAGATAATGATGTTTATTGTTACTCCCTGCACCACCACAAGCTTAGCTTAAAGGTGTAGGTAATTTTTTTATTATTTCTAAATACTTTGTACAATTTGTGTTTTTCAAATAATAAAAAAAAATCAAAAAATTCTTTCAAATCAAATTACCTATAATAAATGTTAATATAAATATTCAGTAACAATTTCATGGTCATTTGGTTTAGAATAACACCAAAAACTAAACAGACTGATTTAGTTGCGTAGTTTAGTAATGTAATTTAGTTATTTAGTAGTTTAGTGATCCATTTATTTCTATTTTTCAGCAATTTGATAATATCTCAACACGATTGCTCACCAAATGATACAGGTATCAATGTATTTTGTACATACAGATACAACATTTTACACATTTTAATACTTACATCAAATTATTACGTAAGATATACAATAAAATATTATTAACAATTTTCAAAATTATTTTAATTGTTAGTTTAAATTTTTCTATTTTATTTGTATTTAATAATATTGTTATTTCAAAAATTTGTGGTGGACTATGCATTTAAAATATCACTTTTATTCCCTAATAGTACTGTTCATTAAAATGTATAACATAGTATTATTTCATGAATTTTTTTCTACATTTACCTAGTTAAAAGACACATACCTAACTCACGTTAAAATGCATATATTGTAAAATAAAAACTGTACAGACACAGATATTCTCACCATTAATAAAATATTAACATTTTTCAAAAATTTTCAAGTAATACATTGTTATTCAGTTGACGGCCACCAAGGTTTTGTTGTAGTATGAGTATAAATTAATAAATAAAAACACAAGACAAAATTATTATGAACACAATTGTTTAATAAAAATTCTGTTAAAATGTTACAAATAACTAAAAAAAATAATAGCAAGATAGTTTTTATTTTAAAAAAAAATGTAATATTTATATTATAAACTGTAATAATTGTATTTAAATTATGGCAATTTATTTTGATAAAGGTAGAGAATAGAACATTATGGTTAATATTATGGTTGATTAGGTCAGTAAATAATCCTGTTTCCATGTATATATTTCAGATAATCTAATTATTCCGGGGTAGTGCCATCTCTGATGTAATTTATCGACAAGGTTAGACGTTTTTGCATACGTATGCCAAGCAGTCTAAATGCCGCAGCCTTGGCACACATACTTCTACCCCATAGCCAGTATGTCCGTCGGGTAGAAATACATGTGCCAAGGCTGAGGCATTCGACAACTAGACTGCATGGAATACGTATGTAAAAAAGGTTAGTCTTGGAGTGGGGCAGCTAATTATATTTCTGAAGTAGGTGCACACATGAAAATGGATTTGTTTTGGATTAAATTGCCATAACCACAGCAGAAGGTGAAAACAACGGATCAGGTTTGAGATTGAGTGCGTTACTGCCGGCCTGGCTGCTCTTGAACGCTCTTCAGTCCGTATGGAAAATCTGTAAACAAAATAATAAAATAAATACATTTTTAGTGATCCAATCGTCGAACAGTTTTGGTGAGCACCGAGAAGTCATAAATGCAAGTAGGTAGGTATCGTTAAAGGCTCAGTCAAACAGGGAGCGAGCTGCCATGGGGTACGGGGCAGCAGACCTCTTCCTGTTTGACCGAGCCTTAACATGAGAAAACGTCGAAACACTAAAATCTAACCGTAATGCCGTGAGTGTTACGGATATACAAGAGAACGAGACGGGACTTACTTGATGTTGACTTTCCACACGTGATCAAAAGCGTTCGACAATCCAAGATCTACACCAAGATCGAGTGCCATCGTGAACGCTCTTCAAAATTAATTTGATCGTTTGGTGGAAAACTATCATATTTGGTTTAAGACGACGCTACACTGCCATTTGTTCTCTTGGTCTTATAAGTGCACAACAAAGCAAATTTACACTCAGGAGAACGAGCTTAGCTCCGTTAGTTTAAAATCAGAGTGAATCAACCTATGATGAAATTTGATGGTAAGTACATTATCCGGGCTTGTATGTGGGTTTTTTTACAATAGTTCAATATTTTAGTAAGTTATGCGTTAATAATATACCTAGCGTAAATAAAAAATGCTCATAATTCACTTAAAAACTGTATTATGGTAAAAAAAAACACACACACACATACAAACACAGAAAATGTTCTTACCATCAAGTTTCATAACAGGTCAATTCACTCTGATTTTGAAACTAACTGAGTTAAACGTGATCTTCTGAGTGTAAATTTCCTATGTTATGCAATTGTGAAACGGAGACAACAAATATCTGTGTAGCGTTCTCTTAATCATTATTACACTGTTACAAATAAACATAATTATTGATGATGACTAGTTATTAATGAGGAATAAGCTTATAGACATGCTGGTACACATACAATTGTTGGTATATATGACACACACAATGTTATGTTTGTTAGTGCCGGGAACGGTTTAAGAAAGACTGGTTGAGGGTCGCATATGTTCAGCTTAATGACAAAATAACGGTACTCTCTTCACACTTCCTTTCGCTATTTATCGTTTAACGCGCAATCATTCTATCTTAAACCGTGGATTCGGGGTACAAGTTTAGCAGTTACAATACCTATGGATGACCATACAACAGTTCATAAGTCTTGTGTTTTACTATGGTCTATTCAGAATAAGAGCACACCATATTTACTGGTTTTGACCGTGGCACTCTGGTGTCGTTTCATTCTGAATGTAGTACATATTTAACATGCAACTAAGATTGTTTATATTTATTGTAATTATAAAACATATCAACTGGAACTTATTATTTGATCTATCTCTCCTGATGCTCCTGTGTTACGCTTAAGCTATTATTCAAAGGGCGCTAAAACCCTTGTCCCTTACTTAATTATCTATATATAGATATGACGTTTTCAAAATTATTAAGACATTTGTTGTCTCCGTCTTACAAGTAGCAAATTGTATACTCAGCAGAACACGAGTAGCTCAGTTTGTTTAAAAATTATTGGAATTCACAAAGGTAGGGTTATTATCTATGCAATCTCATTGGCTTTTTATTATATTTAAATTTTAAAGCGGGTTATGAGTGTTATAAGATGTACAAACATTTTACAATTTTAAAATACTCTTAACTTGCTTTAAAATTTAAATATAATTAAAAGATCATGGGATTTCCTAATAATAATCTTACCTTAAAATTTTATAATAGGTTTGAAATGATCAATTACAATAATAATAATAAAAAAAAAAACAATATATTGGTGTTAACTTCAAGTTTCTAGTTACAGCGGGGAATAATAAATTATAAACGAAAAATATGCCTGGGCCTTACCGAAAACCAATATTAATACATATTTTCAATCAAAATAAAAATGACAAAAATGTGATAAATGCATCGGACGTAATTTAATAAATTAATACTACATATCATTGACTAATACTCACATGTGAATGCATTGAGTGAGTATTCAATCTGAGCAACCACTTAGCCACAAACAACAAACCAACAAAATGCACAATACTAATTTTCAACACTGACGTTTAGAACAACAAACACCCTAAAATGGGAAACGAAGACAGATTAATATGTATAATTGGCTGTTGCCTCGAACAATATTTACCAGTCAGCGTAAAAATTCACTAGAACATGAATTCAATTCGTACAGCACTAATACAAATACACATGCCACGTGGGTGTGCACCGTATGCTTCGACCGCAGCTGAAAAAACAGAAAAGAAAGTAATTAGTAATTAAAAAAAATCGGTTTTTGGGTTGGATCGGACTACGATACATCAAATACAAACGGCCGAAGGAAATCAGACGAATAACGGAAAATCATTTAGAACCTCCTTCTACACACGAACGGTTAATAATACAGACATTTGATGACACCGAAAGTTTTACACTAACTAATACAGTGTACGAACTTTTTAAAGTTAAATACAATATTCTAAAAACAATCAATTTTGCGACAATGCGACGATCACCGAACAATGTCTGTTAAGATAACAGCTATTGTACATTTACCACTTATCAATTTTGATAAGATAGGTAACCGCAATTATAACATATCGATGGTCAAAAGGCCAATAATTGTCGTAACCATCACTTTGGTCGAAAATGGGATTATCATGAAATATTAAATTTCATATAATTTTCTGGTGTTTAACCAATTGTCGTAACCCATCGTACTATTTAACTACTATAATTTAAAGAATGTTCTATAATTGCCTATGCAAATCTTACAAGGGGTTTTAATAAAAATAATATGTTTTTCATTTATAATTCAACATTCAAGATGGATGGATGGATAAATAATAATTATAATAATTAAGTGAAATTGAAGAAATTTTATTTGATCTTTATTATAAATACAGTTAATTCCTTAGTTCTATCGAGAAAAAAATTTTTTTATGATTTTTCCCATAATTAATGAATATAATTTTATAACATGTAAAAAAAAATGTCATGCAGTATTGTAGGATAATATACGACCAGAACAGACGATTGATATCTTAGACCAGTATTATAATAGTATAGATAAACATTACACAAAACAGATGTTGATGGAATTCCAAATTTTCTCGCCCTGTGTCTTGCATGCTATTTAAATCATACCTTTTCACCATATTATATCATTATAGGTATTTATTAAAATATATACGGATTGGAATCTTTCTAATACAAAATAAAATGTTTATAATAAATATTGAGTGAATTATTCAATTTCTAACATTTAATAAATATG